ACTCGTTCGCAAATTGTCCGTGTCCGCCATTGTTCGTTTAGAAATGTTAGTTTCGGTTCTGCTTGTAGATTCCCAAGGAAATGCATCTCGCCGCTTTCTGTACTGTTAGACGGGGGCGGGGCGGGGCGGGAAGTGTAGCACAGTGGCAGGGTTGGGAAGCAAAACTCGGTTCCGAGTAGGAACAAATAACAATTGTCCGGTACCGTGATTAATAAGAGTTGTGAGGACAGGAGGCGGAGCCCCGCGGACCGCAGCTCTCTCTCTCTATGCTCCGGATCATCTGATCGCTGCACGGTGCAGTTCAGCGTCTCTCTCTCTCCCTCTCTCTTTCTACACACAGCGGACCCGCTGCCCGTTTAACAGCCTCATCTTTGTCAAACTTTCTTATGTTCTTTCTCTAACACGTGATGAAGGTTATTAAGCGTTAAGCGTTAGCTCCTACGTTGTTAATATTGACGCCATTTCCTTTATGAAGTAAAGCAGCCTCCCTGTCTGTGTCCTCGCGCTGTCCTCACATCCCCCGACCCCCAGACTCGGAGAAGCACAGGGATGTCAGTATTGTTTATGAAGCAGGGTATAGAAAGTACATTATTGAAATGAAAATACTATTTATTTACTTTTACAAACAGTGAGCAGCTGAGCAGCTGCAGCATGTGTATTGCAGGACATGTGTAAGCGTGCAAGCATCTTTGAGTTGTAGAAAAGCGCTAGGCCTATAGGCTATACATATAATGTATTATTATTATTATTATTAGGCCTATGTGTTGGACATGTGTGGTTGGACTCTGTCTCACAGGCAGGTTGCAGTGTAACATCAGAGGAGACTGGGCCAATTGTACATTCTCAAACTGCACCACTTAGAACTAACTAAACAATGCAGACATTATTTTTATATAATTGTATTCAATAACCGTAAGAAATTAAACAGTCTGAAGTGATTTGTAAATAAGAATACAGATTTGACTTAATGTTTTCATAAATATCTTTTTCTCCCAGTTTGTCATGGGACTTATTTTTACCCTCTCAAAGAACCGGAATCGAGAACCGAAAATAACCGGAATCGAAAAGCAGAACCGGAATCGTTAAAATCCAAACTATACCCAACCCTATGTGTGATGCAGTAAAATCTTACCGCTCACTTACGTTAGCTGTATCGTAAAAACCGTGGGAAAATGTAAAATACGATGGCGAAGAAGAAGATTCCAGTGGCCCCAATTTTTGTCGATTCTGGACAAGTGAAAAATGTATTCGGACAAGTAAATTGCCAAACTCACTTGTCCATGGACAAGTACTCTCTAAAAACTTTTTCTCACACTGGGGTACCCTCATTATCACTGAATTATACGAATTTGCGACGTTATAAACAAAAACAGACATCAAAACATGTGGCGCTAGGTAGCTAAAAATGCTAAAATTTTTACCTTGGCTCTGTAGTCTCTCCAAAGAGGTCTTCAATGGCATTAAAACGATAAAAACGCTGCTGAAGTTAATCCATTGGTTAATCCAATGTGTCTGTGTCCCTTTGAAATGATTTCTGATAATCCATAAGCAATGAGACGGATAATCCATGCTTTTACGTTTCTAGATGTCACAGCTAGACTGTAGCTTCACTCTAATGCAAAACTGCATGCGCGAAGCCCACACCTTTTCTTTTCACAATGAGTGTGTGTGGGGGACTCCCCCTTCGATTCTATTGGCTCTAACAGTCAGAAAGAGGTGTCAACCATCAAAATCAAGCAAGGGGGGCCAGAGATATGGAAAATCCACCCAAATGACCCCAGAAGTGGTTTCTTTTTGCTAAATCTCTCTAAAAAGGTCAAATGTCACTTGTTTTGCATCAATCTTGATACAGGGTACTTATTATATGTTGTACTTTGGATTCCTAAAGCTTTTAGTCTACCTTACCATCATCCAAGGGTAGTTTTCACTATAAGTAAAAAATAATTTTTGGACGGACACTATAATTTACAGTTTTTTACTATGTAAAATCTGAGTTTTCTTTAAAATAAAAAACATCTATATTGATTCTGACTTTTCTACATCCAACCCACATGTTTATCATTACTTTGAGAAAAAAGATGATTAATTTAACCCTTTTAGAAGGGAAGATGTGGTCATTTGTTCTGGGAATGTCATTTTCAAGCCTGAGACCTGAAAAACAGGCTCAGGGCTTAACAGGTCAAGTACATGAGATGATAAGATGACACATTTTTAAACAGCTCACTTTTACAAAGGCTATTGAGGATAGCTGAGAGTGAATGACAGGGAGAGGATAGTAAGGAGGGGAGCGATGTGTGGTGTGTGTGTGTGTGTGTGTGTGTGTGTGTGTGTGTGTGTGTGTGTGTGTGTGTGTGTGTGTGTGTGTGTGTGTGTGTGTGTGTGTGTGTGTGTGTGTGTGTGTGTGTGTGTGTGTGTGTGTGTGTGTGTGTGTGTGTGTGTGTGTGTGTGTGTGTGTGTGCTCTGTACCTGTGTGTCCTGAGGCTCTGAGTGTGAGCAGACCATGTCAGGACTTGTTCAATAAGCACAACATCTTAGCTTACGCTCGCATGGATCACCAGGCAGCTGTGTTCTGGATCTACAAACTTTGAAGGATAGTCCTGACACTGTCTGTTTCTTCTTTTTACTCTTGTTTCTTTCCACTGTTTGCTGGAACAGATTCATTTAGAGGCTGGGATTGGCTCCTGAGCAGGTGTAATGGGGGTCTCTGCATTTAAGTTTACCGGCCCTCAAATCATTTCCGGAGAGTTTTACCATCCCATGATGGGGCTTTTCCACTCTCTATGGAAAAACGCTCATAGCATATGTTGCTTTTTTCCAATTCTTTGCCACAAAATTTGAATAATAATTTTGGAAATATATTTCATGTTATATAAGCAATAATAGATAAATGAATGAACACTGAATATATAAAACACACATACATGTCCATGCATTTTTCCTTTGACACACATACTCGTGGCATGGAAGGAGAGCTTCTGGTCCCTTTAGTACTTGATGTTCCCCCTCTCCTTCTTTCAGCTCACCTTCACCTGTCTGTAGCCTGGGAGATAATGATAAGATAAGATAATGTAAAATGAACGGCAGGGGAGAGAGCAAGGTTCACATTGAGTTTTACAGGAGGATTTTGAACCAATACACAAAAGGATACATTAGCCGCGTTCACACCGCAGTACTTTTCCCACTTTAGTTCCGATATAGTTCCGAAATGTCGCGTTCACACCAAAAAGAGCCGGAACTAAAATGAGTTCATGAGAACCTTTTTACCCCCTTTTCCGTCAGTTTTCCGTCCCTGCTAGAGAGCAGGTACTTTCATGGGAGAAAAAGGTTCCTATGTCTGATTGGCTGGGCGGAATGCAAACCACGCCCCGTAAAACTCCCAAAAAGTTTTGTGAAGCCGCCATTTTATTATCCTCGCATTAGCATTAGCATTAGCCCAGCGCAGAAACGCAGAGAGACTAATTTATGGCAACACAAAAGAAAACATGGGAGCGGTGGAGATGAGGAGGTGTCGGTGTTCTGGCGATTTACTCGGAATGGATTTACCCAGCAGCTTCTACTGAAGCCAGTCCCTAACTCCGGGGACTTCCAGCCGGGGACTTCGGGCGGCAGTATACGTTGCCTGCCAGTAAACCCAAAGCAGAAGAAGAAGAAGTGACGTCAGCGGCTTCATTTGCCTAATTCTCCCCCAGGGACTTATTCCGGTGTGAACGCGATCTGTACTTAGTTCATTTAGTTTAGAACTAAAGAGTTCTGATGAACTAAGTTCTGATGAACCTTTGTGGGAAAAGTACTGCGGTGTGAATGTGCCAATTGAGACATTCTCCTAGCAGTTAAAAATGTGGAGTATTTGATCAAAAATGTCATAATTGCTTATGAAAATTACAATCTAAAGTTTAACTTCATATTGCTACATTGTGTGTACCAAAAATACATTATTTTGCAAATATAAAAATGTTCGTACCATAAACATTCCATTTTACGGCATTACGTTGTGCAATAGATTAGAGATGTCCCGATCCGATCACGTGATCGGGGATCGGAGCCGATCACGTGATTTCCAAAAGATCGGAATCGGGAGAAAAAAATCGGGGATCGGGAATTTTTTTTTTTTTTTTTTTTATAAAATATATTTTTTTTAATTTAATGTTACAAAACAAAAATGACCATGTTCACGTCTTAAAGTCATCCTGAGGCCTTAGTTTTGGTTTAAAATTACACAACATCATGTATGTGTTGCTTCTTTTGGGCTTGTTTTCATAGACCTGGTTGCTTATTTCTCTCAAATCTGGCAACAGAGTGGGCAGGGCGCAGTGTCTAATAGTAGCAGTAAGCTAACGAGAGGCTACGTTCAGCTGGTGACTCGGGAGTCGGGACAGAGAAAATGTCAGGAGTTTGGAAGTATTATAAAATTGAAAGCAAAGGCAGTGTAACAGCCAGATGCAATGTTTGCAAGGCGGAGGTTCCGCGTGGTGGAAAGAACAGAACACGACCAATCTAATACAAACACCAACAACAACACGACGAGTACACAGCGGCCACTCAGGTAACGGCACTGAAACAACTGACACTTTCAGAGACTTTTAAAAGGAAAGAGAAACTGCCCCAGAACAGTGAAAAGGCCAAAAAAAAAACAGCCAAGATAGCTGAATTCATCACGTTGGATGACCAGCCGTTATCTGTTACCTTTTTTTTCTCTTAATGCAAAAAAAGGTGATCGGGACATCCCTACAATAGATTTAAGATGATAAATCAGAGGACATTTCCATGAAGTCATATGAACAGCTTATCACTGTGTGCTGCCTTAGCTTCTCAGTGGTGAGTGCTGTGTTCCAGCGCTTGCTTTAGGCAGGTGCTACACTGTTCAAAACTTGAGGAAACAGCTTGTGAAACTGAAGATAATGCGTTTTGCTCAACAACCTAAACATTGTTTGATTTGCTTACGTTTAACATATCTTTTTTTGTGCTCTTGTTCTCTATCTCTATCTCTCTTCCACCCTCAGCCCTTTCTATTCTTACAGCTGAGGGAACACACAGCTCCACAGAGGGCGAAGATAAAAAGCTCCACATAAAGCAGCAGAAAGATCGTCGGCCATGATGCCCCGCTGCAGAGTGAACCTCAGCACCATGATCTTCCTTGTCATCCTCCAGGGGGCGGCGGTGGTGCTGTTCTGCGGCTGGTACGTCCAGCTCAGCCCCTGCGGCTCCCCCCCCTCCAATGGCGGCAAAGTGCATGTCCTGCTGCTGTCCTCCTGGAGATCAGGCTCGTCTTTCGTGGGGCAGGTGTTCAGTCAGCACCCGTCTGTCTTCTACCTGATGGAGCCGGCGTGGCACGTGTGGACCAAGCTGCAGAAGCACGGGGCGCGAGCTCTGCGCATGGCGGTGAGGGATCTGTTACGGAGCGTGTTCCAGTGCGACATGTCTGTGATGGAGGCCTACATGCCGGAGCAAATCAACATGTCCTTTTTGTTTATGTGGAGTCACAGCAGAGCGCTGTGCTCGCCGCCGGCCTGTCCTCTCACCCCCCGCAACCAGTTCAGCAACCAGACCCAGTGCTTCAAGGCCTGTGATGCTCAAGGCCTGCAGGGGGCCAAGGACGCCTGCGGCAGTTACAGTCATGTGGTACTAAAGGAAGTGAGATTCTTTGAGCTAGAATCCCTCTACCCGCTGCTGCAGGATCCAAACATAGACCTCCGCATCATCCACCTGGTCAGGGACCCGCGGGCCGTGGTGCGGTCCAAAGAGGCGTCAGCCAACGCCTTTGTGTACGATAACTCTGTGGTCTTGGAGCAGAGGAACGTCCCACCGGCAGAGGTGCAGTACCAGGCCATGCAGGAGATCTGCCGTAGCCACGTGCGCATTCATGAGAGGGCCATCCTGAAGGCCCCTCCGTTTCTGAAAGGCCGCTACAAAATGGTGCGCTACGAGGATGTGGCGCGCAACCCTCTCGACGAGATAAACGCCATGTATGAGTTTGTAGGTCTAGAGATGACCGAACAGCTGCAGGAATGGATCTTCAAGGTGACGCACGGAAAAGGCAAAGGCTCCAAGAAAGATGCCTTCGAAATCTCGTCACGAAACGCTGCTGACGTCTCGCAAGCTTGGCGCACCGCGCTGCCTCACAGCAAGGTCAAACGCATCCAGGAAGTGTGTAAAGGGGCCATGTCGTTGCTCGGGTACAGAACGGTTAACAGTGAAAAAGAACAGAAGAGACTTGACATAGATCTACTTGTGCCCCGGGAACCGTATCAGTTCAGCTGGTTGCCAGCTAAGACAGAGCATCCCGGTAATGCTTAAATTACCTTCTGTTTCTGAATAGCAAAGACACCAAAAGACTACACTGGACTGAAGTCCATGTTCTTCATAGTCTTTAATAAGTGCTACAACTGAGGGAACACTGGCCTGATTTCCCTGGTTAAAGCTTTGATTAGTCAGTAGAGTGATGGGATTTCAATGTAAAATGACAGAACAGCAATATTGAATGCAAGGGCCAAAAAATAAATGTATAACCAAACTGGAAGACACATTAACCCAGACCGTTAATATGCATCTTAGCCAATAAGAGCACAAGTGCACAGCTTTAGAAATGTAAGCAAAATCAAGACGCTGTGGATCCCACCATCAAACCACTTGCCAGGGTGGTCTGGGATTTGACCACATATATTTGTATAGCGTATCAGAATGTGTCCTGATGCGTCTCAACAAGATAAAAACAGGAACAATTGTCATTAGAACCCCTCCCATTGTTTTCTTCCTCCTTTCCTCATCTCCAGTTGGTTCTAAAATGTTAATAGAATAACGACATGAAGGCTTCATTCAGAACCAAGCGGGAAACTCTATCTAACAGCAGCCCCTAGATGTTCATACTGCCCAATGCTTACCAAAGAGAATTTAAATGTACCCAGAGCAGCTCACTGAGAGACAACTCAACAATATATCTTACACTGGCTTTGTTCACAACGTCTGAACATATCAATTTTGGCCCCATCATGGCCCCACATGAAAATAATTCAGTTGTAAACAAGAACAGATTATTACATGGTACTTGGTCTGGACAAATTATATATTTTTAAAGCCACTACGCATACTTTACACTTTGTTTCCGAGCCGGAGTTTTCCACAGTGTTGGGGACAGTCAGAGCATATTTAACAGGGCAGGATCCCTGCCAGTCCTGCTGCTGCCATCCCTCCCTGGCCCAGAGAACTCGTGTTAATTCACTGCATTTGAATGCACATTGTTTGGAGCTGGGCCCCATGCCAGTGTCCCCTGAGGGCCGGATCACTGATGACGCTCCCTCAGAGGAGGAGAGCCAGTCTTTGTCCCTGAGACAGGAAGTTTTCTAGGGTTTTTGATCTGCATCTGAAGGTGCGCGGGGGGCAGGAAGTACCCTTACATCGTTTGAGAGGTGCAGAGGTCTGATAATAGCGTGATGAAGTGAATTTGATTAATCGAAGAGAAGAGAAGTCTGTCACTGAGCTTCATTGGAGCTGAAGTCAGGATGAATGGTTGAACCTCCATCCTTTTAGGATAGCTGCTGTTAAAAAACATCTTAACATTTACTTGTTACACATATCAAATGAGTCATTCATGACGGGGCACAATGTTTCGCTGTTTAGGAGTTGTATAAAAGTGGTAACTAGCTAACTCTTAATCTTCTTCCTGGAACACCCCAGTTATATTTGTTTACAGAATTTATTATTTGTCCTTGGTTGATTAATCATTACACTGACACAGTAGATGGTGTTCTGAGTCAAATACTTTTGACAATGATTAAGGATCAAAGCTTTAGTCAATATGTTAGGGATAATATGCAGTGAAGCGGTCATTCATGAAAAAAGAACACCGACAGGGGGATCAGGAATCCGACGCCAAGCGGTCAGTGTTCTTTATTCCCCATTAGTGTTCACTTCCTGTCTGTCTTCTTTTGCTGTTCCCTTTAGTGTTTACCTGCTGTCTGTCTTCTTCTGTTGATTTCTCTGACGTCTGTCTTTTAACCTCTTTCCTTCTCTTGCTCTGTTTTTCTTTTCTTTACTGGGGACAGTTTAGCCATCATGAATCCAAAGTGTTGCACTCTCCACAAATATAAACATAAATATTGAAAAAGTTGTCCACAGCTGACGTTACATGGACCAGACTTTGACTTGATCATCTTTAGCAACAGTCTGTTCTCCTTAGCAACAGTCTGTTAGTAAAAATAAGCAGACCTCTGGAATGTCCAAATTGACCAATCAGAATCGAGTATTCAACTAAGCTTTGAAGATTGTTAAATCATGTTGATTTACATCTTACCAGCCAAATTAAGTACTTTTAGTAGTAAGCATTTCTATTATAAAGTGCTTTCTGATAAGAGGTACAATTCTCTTCTTCACATTAGTTTCCTTTAAACCTAAACTTGAGCATTGTTTGATGTCTTTGTTTAATGTGCAGCAGGCTGTGGGAATAGTTGTTGGTAGAAACAGCCAGAGTTCTCTGAGTTCAAACGTCTCTCAGCTCAGTGTGGTAGTTTACTGCCTGCCACTCACCATTCTTGTTTCCAGCAGCTGTTTAAAGAAAATCACAGATGGAGCCACAGAGCAGCTAGAATGAAGAAACAGGACCTCAGAGGCAGGAATTATATTGTGACTAAGGATTTCTCAAGGGATAAGAATTAAGCATTTATAGGACAATTCCAACATATTCACATCAATTAAAAGCAGCTCATAACAACATACTAGAATGTCCTGAGCATTAGTGTGTTACATTGTGAAGTTGTTGTTTGGCTGTACCACATCTTGTGTGTCAGTTTGACCCACGGTTTATTTAATAACAATCGCCTACTGGAGATATGTACCTGCTTAAGGTAAATATTACATTAACATTCAACGCATACAGTAAGGGTACTGTGTTGAAAGAGTTAACATGTCTGAAGATGAGAGTCCGCCTGCCTGTATGGAACATATGGAACAGAGCTGGCTGAGTACATTGTGTTCTCTCAGTGTCTGCACAAATGCTGGTATGTATGGTTTCCCAGTGGACAGACTGTTGAATACTGTGCTTGTTTGCTAGGTATCCCACCCTTTGCATTCATAATTATGTTTAAAATAAAGTGTTCAATAGCACTGGTATGGGTGTGTAAGATGTCATTATAGGGAGTTTTAAGTCAATCACACATGAAGAGTGGGGATGCCATGATGAGTTTCTGCAGTGTGATGCTTTAACCAAAAAGTGGTCAGCAGTCACATGTAGATAAACTGATGATGTTTAATGTCCTGACCTGGAGAAGTTATTATTACGTAATTTGTTTTTTACTGTGGAATTAATCAAAAGTTTGTGAAAATGTTGCCACTGATTTAATGAAGTGCCTGCACATTGAACATGTGTCGGTGTGCAATGTGAAACATGTGAGACTGTTATCTTTAACCACATCTCCTTTATTTAGTTTGAAGAGTCGGTGCCTTTCAGAGCTGCCAGTTTGTTCATGTATTTATATGAAGATGACTTGAAGCGGGAACTATACGGTACAAATGACTGCAATAAATATTTACTTGTCACTTGTTGGTCTGGTTTATTCTGTTGCCTTTAACTGAAATCTGGTTTGTAAGAAGATAAGCTGATTTTCTCAGAAGTACATCAGTAACGTTTTGGCGCCATCTGCTGGCGGATTTTACTACTGTATAAAATAGAAATAAAACATCACCTAATATTCATCACTGATTTAAAAGAAAAAGCATGACTAGATGAGGAAGGACACTACGAAAAGCTTTGAAACCACAAAGTGATCCCTTAGATAGGAAAACCTTTACACTTTGAATGTTTCACTTCACATGAATCAACTTTTCTTAACAATAATCTACTATTACACATTTAAGACCAATATCAACAGAATTGCCATATGTTATTGGTCAATGTATGTTCTTTGATATACTTCATATATTAATACCATATTGATAATACACATGCACACAGTGCAGCCAAAAGTGCTTTAACAATATGGCACAAAACACAAGATGACAGGTAACAGTAAAAACGTTTGGCAAATCCTAAATAAACTATTAGGTAAACATAAGAAACAGGAAAATAATGCTCTAGAATTAAAAATCAATGATGCCCTGATAAAAGACCCTGCAGTGTTGGCCAGCTCTCTGAATGAGTATTTTATAAATAGTGCTCTGGACATCACAAAGCTCTTCCCGCCATCTGAGGTCTCACCTAGCCCGACTGTGGATACACATCCAGTTTTTGACCTAGAGGAAATCACAGAGGTGGAGGTAAAAAATATAATCTTAGGGTTAAGAGGTTCTAAGGCTAGGGATGCAGATGATTTAGACACCAACTTTATAAAGACAAATATTGACGGTCTAATAAAACCAATTAGTATGCTAGTGAATCAATCTATCAGCACGAGGGAAGTTCCATCATCCTGGAAGGTGGCCACGGTGACACCGATTTTTAAATCTGGGGATAAGGCAATGATGTCCAACTACAGACCAATCAGCATCCTCCCCTGTGTCTCTAAGGTAGCTGAGAAATGGGTGTCCAAACTAATCACCAAACATTTAGATAAAGGTTTCGCTCCACTCCACCCAATGCAGTTTGGTTTCCGTGCTCACCACTCCACTGAGACAGCTCACTGTGTCTTTGTGGAAAAGGTTAAATGTATGTTGGACACGAGCCCATAGGTGCTGTCTTCCTTGATCTCAGGAAGGCTTTTGACACTGTTGACCACCAAGTGCTCCTTACAAAGCTGACTCATTTCAATTTTTCTGCAGATTCAATACAGTGGGTTGAGTCTTACTTATCAAACAGAAAACAGTGTGTTTTGGTCAACGGTACCAAATCCCCGTACCTTGTGAACCCTGTTGGGGTTCCACAAGGTTCCATTATTGGACCATTACTGTTTTCACTGTACATTAATGACTTGCCTAATGTATGTCCTGATTTGAATGTACAAATGTATGCCGATGATGCGGTCATCTTTGCACACGGGAAAAATACTGAAATAATCACATCCTGTCTCTCTAATGCTTTGGACAAGGTTCAACACTGGCTGAACAACATTTGCTTACAGTTTAATTCCAAAAAAACAGTTAGCATGATGTTCAGTAAACGACCAGTCAAAATGGAAGGATCCAATGTGTTTTTAAACGGAGCAGAATTAGAACTAGTCCCCCACTTCAAGTATCTTGGAGTCATACTGGACTCAAACTTGACTTTTAAGAAACATATTAAGAAAGTATCAAATACTATTAAATTCAACTTGCTAAATGTTAAACAAATGAGACCTTTCTTAACTGTGAATGCTGCAAAGTCATACCTCCACTGTATGATTCTATCCCACATAGAATACTGTTTTACAAACTGGTCGTTTGCTTGTGCCACCAACCTGAAACCCATAGAACAGCTGTACAAGAGAGCTATCAAGGTGTTTGACAGAAAGCCTTATTCATACCACCACTGCACCATCCTTGATAAACACCATTTCTTGAGTTTTGACCATTTGAAGTTTTTTAAAAGTATGTGTTTTATTTATAAATGTTTACATGGACTGGCCCCCCCCCTCCCCCTTAAGGGAATTCATCCACAGAAAACACACTGGACGCTGCATTAGGTCAGAAACCAGAGGAGACTGTGAAGTCCACCGTAGACGGACCACTTTTGGACAAAATGTCCTCTCCATTAAAGGCAGCTCTTTGTGGGATAGCCTCCCAACTGAGTTACGGGATTGTCCCACTTTCAATAGTTTTAAAGGTCAACTCAAAGAATGGTTAAGAAACAAACAGACGTGCAATCACCGCTAAATGCACTTTAACACAGGGGTATCTCCTCTTGCACTTTAGGTAGCACTTTTATATTTTCTTGCACTTTACATGTCGTAGCTGCTATATTGTATTACCATGTCATAAATACTTGCTCTTTCTCTTTTGCACTTTTTGCATATCATGTATTTTGTTTTTGCTATGTTTGTAAAATGTAATTTTCTTAAATGTTTAATGTGAGGGACTGCGGATGGAAACTAGCTCAAAGCTAAATCTGGCACTGTTACGCTTGACACATTTTAATGTTTTAAGTGTTCATTACTGTGCATTGTCCCTGCTAAATAAACAATTAAATAAATAAAAATAAAATGAACAGAAAACAAGAAATTCATTTCAAACATTAAAAACTTTTAACACACATGCAGCATATGTACATAAGATTTCAAGGAAGACAACAAGGAGGTAAAATAGGCAGGATAATACAAAATAATAATACTCATTAATGTAAGGAATGCGTGGAAGGGTAGGACCCAAATGCAGACTATCAGAAAAGGTAAACGGTCTTGAAACAAAAACGAGCTTTATTCTTAAAGCTTAACAATAGCATGGCATGAAACACATAGGTTCTACAGAAAACTGACCGTGACCAACATGGTGGGAGACAGGAGAAACAAACAATGAACCGACAGGGGAACACAGGAAGAGACAAGACTAAATACAGAGAGGGGTAATCACAAGACGAGACACAGCTGGGGTAAGGGAGGCAGAAACACCAGGGCAACAGGTGAACACAATCAAACAATCAGACACACCAGGGAAACTAAGACAGGAAGGCAAACACAGGAAGAAGGAACAGAGAAGACACGAGGAAAACATTTCAAAACAAAACAGGAAACCAGAAAAAGACAAGACAAAACACAACACAGACAGATCGTGACATAACCCCCTCCTCAAGGGACGGATCCCAGACGTCCCAAAAAACATGGTCTAACACTTCAAAAAGGGTGGGTGGAGGGGGTCCGGAGGACGGGCCCGAAAGGGGTCCCGGGCGGACGGCCCGGGGGCAAGGCAGAGTCCAAAAAGGGGCGACGGCCACAGCGGGCGGACTCAGGGGGCCGGGCATGAGAGCAAAGGCAGCGGCTCTCAGGGGACCGGGCTCGAGGGCGAAGGCAGCGGCTGGAAGAATCAGGAGGCCGAGCCCGAGGGCGAAGACCGCGGCTGGAGAACTCAGGAGGCCGGGCTCGAGGGCGAACAAGAAGGCGTCGACGAGACAACTCCGGAGGACTGGCAGGAAGGCGCCGACGGAACAGCTCCGGAGGATGGGCAGGAAGGCGCCGACGGGACAGCTCCGGAGGCCGGGCAGGAAGGCGCCGACGGGACAGCTCCGGAGGACGAGCAGGAACCAGTATCGGCCGGACAGGAACCGGAGCCGACGGGACAGGCGTAGACGGGGTCCTGAACATGACATGGGCTGGTGTCGACTGGACCCCCAACGGAACAGGACACAGAGTTGGCAGGACCCCCGGTGGAACAGGTGTCGGCGGGACCTCCAACAGGACAGGACACAGAGTTGGCAGGACCCCTGGCAGGACAGGTGTCGGCGGGACCCCCAACAGGACAGGACATGGATTTGGCAGGACCCCTGGCAGGACAGGTGTCGGCGGGACCCCCAACAGGACAGGACATGGAGTTGGCAAGACCCCCGGCAGGAAAGCAGTCGGCGGGACCTCCAACATCACAGGACATAGGGTTGGCAGGACCCCCGGCAGGAGAGTAGTCGGCGGGACCTCCAACATCACAGGACATAGGGTTGGCAGGACCCCCGGCAGGAGAGTAGTCGGCGGGACCTCCAACA